TCAAAGAAAAGTAAGTCAGGGATTCTTTAATGTTTGCTTATTTTTGAGAGAGAGAAAGAGAGAGAGAGAGGGAGGGAGGGAGGGAGGAAGGGAGGGAGGGATGGGGAGGGGGAGGGACAGAGAGAGGGAGACAAAGGATCTGAAGCAGGCTCTAGGCTGTCAGCCCAATGCTGGGCTCAAATTCACAAGCCGTGAGATCTATGGCCTGAGCCGAAGTTGGATGCTTAACTGAGTAAGTCAGGGATTCCTAAAGGACAGACAAACTCAACTCAATAACCTGATTTCATACTCTTTCTGGTATCTATTCAAAAGTTATAACCATTTGTGTGTACTTTCTAGAGAGAGTGACAAAACTCTTTATCATTTAATCCTATCTTTTTAGATGTCAACCAAGGTCAAGATAAATGCTGTTCTACTCTTTAAAAAGCATAGTTCAAATTCTCTCTTCCTTGTTAATTTCACTCAAAAATATTTATTTGAGCTGATTTCAGTCATTCACTCTTTTATCTTGTTTCTAACCCACCTTAATGGTCATTGGGGGCTTTGTACACTAATGACAGATTACAATAAATGAGCAGACACCATTATGTTTTCTCATTCGAAGTATGAAACACTGAAGTATGAAGCTCTTCATTTTACTCTTAAAATGGAGTAAGGCTAAAACAACTTTCCTTAAGCAAACAGGGCCAACAATGAGTAGGCTATATTTAAGTCCCTAAAAATGTATAACTTCCTTTCCTTTGTTGTCTATTACATAGATTTCTCTTTTCACAACCTTTAGTTCTTTCTTGAAAATCTAGAAGGTTGTGGAGAAGGATATTAGAGGAAGCAATTGGGCCAAGTGGGAAGCTAGAAAATTCAAATCGCAAGGCCAGGGCTGTATATTTCTATAACTATAGCAGTCTGTATTTCTCAAAGTAAGACCTAACATGAAAACACAGATGTGACCCCTTATTTGAGACCATTACTGTAAACTATGTATAGACTTGCAGGGTTAGCCACTTCTCTTTCTTTGTCTTTTGTAAAAGGGCTGATACCAAACATGCACCAAAACTCCGTATCATTTTTGCAGTTAAAGGCTTATTTTATTCTCAAGTGATCAGAATAACAAAATGGGAAAGACGTAATCATGGGATCATTGAGTCAAAACTGTGCTTTTACTTAGCTATCCTACTCTCCACTAGAACATTAGTGTGGAAAACAGAAATAGCTAGTATTCTAAACAACTCTAGGATTAGAAAAAAATGGTCTCGAAACAAACAGCATAAAGAGAGTGAAAGAGTCTCACAGAAGACTTAATAACTCACCAAATCTTTACCTAAATCTTCCTGAAATGAGGATCACATGTGAAGGCAACACTTATGGGACCAGAGTATATAGTAAGTACTTGAGAATTTGTCTGAATTCAGCAAGATATGAAATCATAGTGTCACTAATAAGAGTTTTATGTTTTTAAATCACATAGAAACAAGAAAATTTTCAGCAGATCCTCAAATGCAAAAGAGGATATTTGTTGTTAGAGCTAGCTCAGAAAGAAGTTGTGAGATAACATGTCAGTACTTTTGTTTCTATTCAGCCTTCAATTTTCTCTTAGGAAATGCTTTATGTTTTCAAGTATTACCACAATGCAGTATTAAATTTCTTTAAATTTAAAGACACTTGCGATTTAATTGGTTGATTTTAGCAGACAGAGACAATTTTTTAAAATACTTGCCATATAAGGAGAGGGAGCATTATCATCTGAAACACTGTAGAATGACACTTCAACTGGAAGAGTCAAATGTGTGGGGCAGAAAATACCACTTGCCCCTACCTCAGCAGTAAAACCATCAACAATGCCAAGAGGATCTAAACGATAGTTCAAGACAGACTCCTGGAAGACAAAATAAATTTTAAGAAACAAATTTTAGAAGTTAACACATTCATTTCTTTTTTCATTTAAAGAAAAACATTACTATGATTTCTGGTACCAAAAAAATAGTTGCTACTCAAACAGAATCCAACAATATGTTAAAAAAATCATTTCTCACTATCAAGTGGGATTTATTCCAGGAATGCAAGGATGGTTCAGTATTTGAAAATCAATAAACATGATAGTCACTTCAATAAGAAAAAAGATAAAAATTATATGATCATTTCAACAGATGCAGAAAAAGCATTTGATCAAGTACAATATCTATTCATAATAAAATCCCTCAACAAAGTAGGTTTAGAGGGAACATACCTTAACACAATAAAGGCCTTAAATAAAAACCCACAGCTAAAATCATACTCAGTGGGGAAAAACTGAGAGCTTTTCCCCTAAGATCACGAACAAGACAAGGGTGTCCACTCTGAAGTCCTAGCAACAGCAATCAGACAACAAAAAGAAAAAAAGGAATCCAGATTGGTAAGGAAGAAGTAAAATTATCACTCTATACAGATGACATGATCCTATATTTAGAAAACCCGAAAGACTCCACCAAAAAAACTACTAGAACTGATAAATGAATTCAGTAAAGTCTCAGGATACAAAATCAGTGTGCAGAAATCTGTTCCATGTCTATATGCTAATAAGGAAGCAGGAGAAAGAGAAATTAAGAAAACAATCCTACTTAAAATTGTACCAGAAATAGTAAGATACCTAGGAATAAACCTAATCAAAGAAGTAAAAAGACCTATACTCTGAAAACTATAAAACAATGATGAAAGAAATTAAAGAGGACACACAAGAAATGAAAAGATATTATATGCTCATGGATTGGAAGAGCAAATATAGTTAAAATTTCTATATTACCCAAAGACATCTGCATATTTAATGCAACCCCTATCAAAGTAACAACAGCATTTTTCACAGAACTAGAGAAAAAATACTAAAATTTATATGGAACCCTAGAAGACCCCAAATAACAAGAGAAATTTTTTAAAGTTTATTTTAAGAAAGAGTGCAAGCAGGGGAGGGGCAGAAAGGGGAAGAGAGAGAGAATCCCAAGCAGGCTCCACACTATCAGTGTGGAGCCCGATGTTGACTCAAACCCATGAACTGTGAGATCATAACCTCAGTGGAAATCAAAAGTTGGACACTTAACTGACTGAGCCACCCAGGTACCCCAACCAAAACAATTTTGAAAAAGAAAAGCAAAGCTGGAGACATCATAATTCCAGACTTCAAGTTATGTTACAAAGCTGTAGTCATCAATATAGTATGGTACTGGCATAAAAATAGACACAATAGATCAATAGAACAGAATAGAAAACCCAGAAATAAACCCCCAACTATATGGTCAATTAATCTTTGACAAGGGAGGAAAGAAAAATCCAGTGGGAAAAAGACAGTCTGTTCAACAAATGGTGTTGAGAAAACTAGACAGCTACATATGAAAGAACTAAAGTGGACCACTTCCTTACATCATACACAAAAATAATTCAAAATGGATTCAAGACCTAAATGTGAGACACCTAAAACCATAAAAATACTTGTGCTAGAGCACAAGCAGTAATGTCCCTGATGTCAGCCACAGCAATATTTTTCTAAATATGTCTCCTGAGACACGGGAAATAAAAGCAAAAATAAACTATTGGGGCTACATCAAAATAAAAAACTTCCACACAGCGAAGAAAACAATCAACAAACCTAAAAGGTAACTTAATGAGAGAAGATATTTGCATACGACATATATGATAAAGGATTAGTATCCAAAATATACAAAGAGCTCACACAACTCAACACCCAAAAAAAATAATCCAACTAAAATATGGGCAGAAGATATGAACAAGCACTTCTCCAAAGAAGTCATATAGGTAGCCAACAGACAAATGAAAAAATGCTCAACATCCCTCATCATTAGGGAAATGCAAATCAAAACTACAATGAGATATTGCCTCACACCTGTCAGAATGGCTAAAATAAAAAACATACACAATAAGTATTGGCAAAAATGTAAAGAAAAAGGAACTCTCTTGTACTCTTGGTGAGAATCCAAACTGGTGTAGGCACTGTGGTGAACAGTATGGAGGTTTCTGGGGTGTCTGGGCAGCTCATTCGGTTAAGCCTCCAACTTCAGCTCAGCTCATGATCTCACAGTTTGTGGGTTTGAGCCCCATGCTGGGCTCTGTGCTGACAGCTCAGAGCCTGGAGCCTGCTTCAGTTTCTGTGTCTCCCTCTCTCTCTGCCCCTCCCCTGCTTGTGCTGTTGATTCTCCCGCTCTCAAAAAATGTTAAAAAACAAATTAAGAAAGAAAAAAACAGCATGGAGGTTCCTCAAAAAGTTAAAAACTAGAACTACCCTACAATCCAGTAACCACACTACTAGATATGTACAGAAAAGATACAAAAACACTATTCAAAGGGATACATGCACCCCTGTGTTTACAGCAGCATTATTTACAATCGCCA